TTTAGTAAGAAAAATGGTTGCAACAAAAAAAAAAAAAAAAAAAGGAATAGAAAGCCCTTTGGCAACATAAGAGGACATAGCACATTCATCAAAAATTATTAATAATAACTCAAAAGAGTTACAGTGCATTCCTATCTCTTTGAAGATAAGAAAATCAACTGTATGCAACAGTTGAGTATATGAAAGCCAGAGTCAATGGATACACTGAGATGATTTTAAATAAAGTATGACTCTTGACGGTCACATCTAGTATGTGCCCTGAAGAAGGTTTCTCCCTCCCTCTCTATAATGTGCCTTAAAAGCCATTAGAACACTTTCTTTTCTTTTTTTTTTTTTTAATAGAAGACAATCCATGGGAAGTCTCTCATTAATCCACACAATAGAAATATATCCTAGCTTCCCATTATTGTAATAAAGAAATGTTTATTAGCTAACAATTCCATTCAGATACTCCCCACTGCCTGGGTAATGCTTGTTTTACATATGAAAGAACTGTGGCTCAGGGCTGCATGACTCACCCAGCAGTTGGAAAGAAGACAGGGAGGCAGACCTAATGCTACTTCCCCTGCACACAGACACACACTCACAGACTCCCTGGAGGAGAATGTGACACACCTACATCTAGTACAGCTGGGACAATGAATGGTAAGGGCACAAACCAAGGCCTTGTGCTCCCTGGGGTGACACTTCTCTAATCATAGTAAGGAACACAGATGTAGAAACACATTCTCAGCACCAAGGCAAACATTTCACCAATGGACTCCTGGTTACTGGTCGGTGACCGGAGCTTGGATGTCGTCACTGGGTTCTAGCCAAAGTAAAAGAGCTGAACAAAAGGAGAAATCACCAACTCTGCTTGGAGATCGGTCTTAGATCCATCAGAGAAGGACCACAGCTGTTGCCCCCCAAACTGGACAGACGGGTGAATCAGAGAATCACAATTTACTGGAGCAGAAACTCACAGTATAACAGAAACCTCTGGATCCACTGCACGGGTAGGAAAACCTAAACTGTAACTGAAAATTACTGGAGAGTTTTATCTCTTAGGTACAGACAAACCTAGGAGATAAAAATTCCAGGGTGACACAGGCATTGGGGGATCCCCACATTTTCTTGAGTTTTACCTCTAGGAGCTCTACCAGGTCATCACAGTGAATACTGGAGAAATACCCCTCATGCTTCTGGTAGGACAAAGAGAAAAATAACCATTTTGAAAGAAGCCGGAGCACTCTTTCTGTTCTTATTAACAAGGCCTGTCCTCAGGAGAAGCTATTTAACTTGAGACTATACTGCTGGGGTTTTATTATAAGAGTCTATTCAACCTGAGGGAAGGCAGGTAGGTACTCAGCTCCAGCCCTCTCTAGCCTTCCTGTCTCACAGAGGAGCACAGAAGCTCTGTGAAGGTCTCAGCCCAGGGACACAGCTCACTACAAGAATGGGACCTAATCATAGGACTGTAGAAAGCTTCCCCTGCCCCTACAAGCTACTGCATTATGCCTACCTTTCAACATGCAATTTCAAGGCATATGAAAAAGCAAAAAACACAGTTTGATGAAACAAAGCAAGCATCAGAACCAGACTCAGATATGGCAGAAATGTTGGCATTAGCAGATCAGGAATCCAAAACAATTCTGATTAATACGCTAAAGGGATCTAATGGGAAAAAGTAGACAATATGCAAGAACTGAGAGATAATGTAAACAGAGAAACGGGAATTCTAAGAAAGAGTAAAAAAGAAATACTAGAGATCAAAAACACTGTACAGAATGAAGAATGCCTTTAGGGGACTCATTAGGAGACTGGACATGGCTGAACAAAGAATCTCTGAGTTTGAGCATATGACAATAGAAACTGAAATGCAAAGAGAAAAAAGATTTTAAAAATGAAACAGAATATCCAAGAACTGTGGGTCAATTACAAAGGTATAACTTACATATGATGGGAATACCAGAAGGAGAAGAAAGAGAGAAAGGAATAGAAAAAATATTGGAATCAATAATGACTAAGAATTCCTCCAAATTAATGTCAGAAACCAAACCACACATTCAGGTTGCACAGAGAACAAACACCATGCTGTATAAATGCCTCAAAAAACTACACTTCAAACATATTATATTTAAACTATAGGAAATCAAAGATAAAGTCTTGAAAGAAGCCAGAGTGGGGGGAAAAAAACACCTTACCTACAGAGGAGCAAAAATAAGAATTACATCCAACTTCTCCACAGAAACCAGGTAGGCAAGAAGAGAGTAAAGTGAAATATTCAAAGTGCTGAGAGAAGAAAACCACCACCTGGAATTCTGTAGTCTGCAAAACTGATCTTCAAAAGTGAAGGAGAAATATAGACTTTCTTGGACAAACAAAAATTGAGGGAATTTGTTGCCAGTAGATCTGCCTTGCAAGAAATGTAAAAAGCAGCTCTTCAGAGAGAAGGAAAAGAATATAGGTCAGAAACTTCGATCTACATAAAGGAATGCTGAGCGGTGGAGAAAGAATAAGTGAAAGGTAAAATAGAAACTCCTGGTCTTCTTATTCTTAATTGATTTAACCGAAAATAGGTTGTTTAAAATAATAATAGCAACAATATATTTGGTTATGTATCCGTATATATATTCTATGTATGCCTCCATATGGATAAGTAAGTGAATGACAACAATGAAGTAAGGGATGGTAGGGCAGAATTAGGAATATTTTGTTATTATAAGATATTTGCAGGCCAAGGAGGGAGGATTGCTTGAGCTCAGGAGTTCGAGACCAGCCTGAACAAGAGCGAGACCCTGCCTTTACTGAAAAATAGAAAGAAATTTGACTGGGCAACTGAAAATATATATATATATGAAAAAAATTAGCTGGGAGTAGTGGTATATGCCTGTAGTCCCAGCTACTCGGGAGGCTGAGGCAGGAGGATTGCTTGAGCCCAGGAGTTTGAGGTTGCTGTGAGCTAAGCTGATGCCACAGCACTCTACTAGCCAACAGAGCTAGACTCTGTCTCAAAAAAAAAAAGATATTTGCACTACTTATGAAGCAATATAATGTTATTTGAAACAAGACTTGAATTAGCCATAAATGTGTATTATAAACTCTAGGACAACCATTAAAAGAGTTAAGAAAAAATAACCAGAATAGATATGCTAAGAAAGGAGAGAAAATGAAATCATATAAAATGCTCGATTAAAACTACAAAAGGCAGAAAACCGGTAGAAGACGAGAGTATGAACACAGAATAAGGAACAACAAATAGAAAACAATAAAAAATATGATAAATAGTAATCCAAATATATCAATAATCACTTTATACAGCAATGGTATAAATATACCAACTAAACTACTGAGATTGTCAGAGTGGATCAAAAAACAAGACCAACTCTAGGCTGTCTACAAGAAACCCACTTTAAATATAAAAACGCATATAGATTAAAAGTAAAAGTATGGAGAAGATATACCATGCTAAAAACAATTAAAAGAGAGTGAGAACACCTTAATTTCTGACAGCAGACTTCAGATCAGTGAATGTTTTCAGGGATAAAGAGGGCATTAAATAATGATAAAGGAGTCAATTCTCCAAGAAGACATAACAATTCTTAATGTGTACATGCCTACAAAGACAGTATCAAATATATATGAGGCAAAAACTGACAGAGCTATCAAGAGAATGAGAAGACAGACCACCACAGACTGGGAGAAAATATTTACAAAACACTTATCTGATAAAGGGCGATCATCCTAAATATACAAAGAACTCTTGACACTCAACAATAAGAAAATGAACAACCCAATTAAAAACGGGCAGAAGAGCTGAACACCTCACCAAAGAAAACACACGGATGGCAAACAAGCCTAAGAAAGATGTGCCACATCCTATGGAACTGGGGAACTGAAAATTAAAACAACAGCGGAACACCAGCACTCACCTAATCAGAATGGCCAAAATCCAGATGCCGACAACACCAAGTGCTGACGAGGATGTGGAGCAACAGGGTCTCCCGCTCAGAGCTGGTGGGCATGCAAAACGGAACGGCCCCTTTGGAAGGCAGCTTGGAAGTTTCTCACAAAACTCAACACACTCTTACCACAGGATCCAGCAGTTGTGCCCGTTGGTGTGTACCCACGTGCACTGAAAACTTATATCCACACAAAAACCTGTACATGATACTCACAGCAGCTTTATTCATAACAGCCAAAACTCGGAAACAACAAGACATCCTTCGCCAAGTGGATACATGAACTGAGGTGCATCCGGACAGTGGGGTAGCCTAGGGGAGGTGGGGGTGTTGACAGCGGGGGAAGCTATGTATGTGTCAGGGTAGGGGGATCTATGAGAACTCTCTGAACTTTCCCTTCAGTTCCCTGAAGCTATTCTAAAAAATAAGGTCTAGGCCGGGCGCGGTGGCTCACGCCTGTAATCCTAGCACTCTGGGAGGCCGAGGCGGGCGGATTGCTCGAGGTCAGGAGTTCGAAACCACCCTGAGCAAGAGCGAGACCCCGTCTCTACTATAACTAGAAACAAATTAATTGGCCAACTAATATATATAGATAAAATTAGCCGGGCATGGTGGCGCATGCCTGTAGTCCCAGCTACTCGGGAGGCTGAGGCAGGAGGATTGCTTGAGCCCAGGAGTTTGAGGTTGCTGTGAGCTAGGCTGACGCCATGGCACTCACTCTAGCCTGGGCAACAAAGCGAGACTCTGTCTCAAAAAAAAATAAAAAATAAAAAATAAGGTCTATTAAAAAAACTTTCATAAACGAATACATGCCACCCTGTACTTTGTATTTTATTCTATTTTCTCTTGCACCAAATGTCAGTCACCTTCTACTAAACTTTCAATGGTAACACCCACTGGTGGGCCTGGCAGAAGTCAGCAAAGCAGTGCTCTGGGATGGTGTCTCCACCTGTCCTACGAAATCCACCCTCTGCCCCACAGGGCGCCTGTGGCAAGCACCACGTCCAATCCATTCACAATTAGCGGGCAAAGCGACCGGCATCCTGCCCCTGGCAGTACCTGGAGGGAGGGTCTCCATGCTCTGCGCTCGATCTTCTCCATTGCTGTGATGAAGGTCTTTCTTTTTAATGGGGTCAATTTCATTCCAGTCCTCCTGGGGGGAACAAAGACGACAAATGAGTTGACTGGTTCTTAAGTACACTTCCATTTCTCAGCTCAATACGCGTGAGTCTCGGGACGCCAGCTGTCTTAAGGACTCCCCTCCCCACCCCAGAACTTGGTAGGCGGTCAAGGCGCAAGGGGAGGAAAGTGTGGGAATGTCCTTTTTCTAAGAGTTTGCATTTCTTTCTTCACGTTTTCACTCATGCTGCACATCTACGGGAAGGACATACTCTGAAAACTCCCAGGGCTTTGAGGGTCTGCGAGGGTAGGGAAGTGGGACAGGGAAAGTGGATTAAATGAAATCATTCAATGGTGATTAAATTAAAACCATTAAAACGAGGGTAGTGTTCCAGACATCTTAGATGGTTTATGGATACCCTAGGACCAGATTCTCCCTAAAGGCACCTTTGAGCTCTCCTCAGAGGGTGTTAAATGATTTGTTTAATGCAGGAGCGGAAGGGGAGGACCCCCAAGGTTTTCCTGGGGCTCCCGCTAACAGGCCTGCCAATGAAACAGAGCTGCATATTAAGGACTTAATGGGAAACCAGAATAAGATATAAGCGCTGGCAGAATTCATTCATCTCATCCGGGCAAAGAGTTTACTCTCATGTATCAACATCAAATCAAACGAAATAACGACGACATGACCACAGAGCTAAATATATTTTTCAAGCACTGGGAATCTGATTTCTGCGAACAAAATAAGAAAGGCTTCTGTACATAACCCAAATCAGAAATATCCCATGGCTAGTAATTTTCCCACCGGACTTCTGCGAGCCAAGCTTTGTCAACTGTCCATTTTCCTGAGCAGATGCTGTTAGGACGACTGGCTGCAGTAATCCCTCCCCAGGGGGGAGAGGGCTTGGGGGAGGGGACCCAACCAGCTTTCCGTGGGTGTATTCAACAAGCTCTGGAGCATTGCGGGCTTCGTGCTGCACGGAAGTTAACCACTGGAGACATTTGGGCTCTTTATTTAAAATGTAAAGTGAGATCTGCAAGAAGGGTAATCTTCAGGGCCTGGGCCAAATGACACATTTTTTTCCAAATGCAACTGGCTCTGCCAATAATCTGCATTTTTACTGAAGAGGTACCGTAATTAGAGACAAGCCGTGCCTAGGCCTCCTCCCTCTCCTTCCCTGCTTTCTGCAAGGAGGCGACACAGGAGGGCTGTCACACCAGGCCGCCGTGCAAATGGCAGGAAGGGCACACAGACCATCCTACACCGGGGTCCTGGCCCCACCCATCGGCATAATTGACACCCCAGCACTTTTGACAGTGCCGTCCCATATTGTAACAAATGTATTAAAATGCATCTGTATCTCAAATTTAAATATTTTTTGCTGCAAAAAAAAAATCTGAAAAGATATTTATAATTTGGCTTTTGAGATAACTTGGCTATAAAGAAACTTTCAATTTACAATTGGCAATGACTACTGCTCAGCAACCTTGGCAAACACACAGCAGTGACAAGAGTCTAACCTGCAAAGGAAGGAAGTATGCGTGAATACTAAAGCAGCAAGTAATGAAGTTACCAGAGTCATGCTGTGCAGACTTTTAATTAAGCATTAATTTTTATTTTGCAGCTTGCTTGTAGCATTTTGTGGCTAACAATTTTTCCCCCCCGCAGGCATCTGGCCTCCTACATACAGTGGCTAATGGATCAAATCATTTAACCTTGCACTTGAATAAAATCAAAGGCAAAGATTGCGGTAGGGCTGGTGGACTCTAGCTCATTTTCTACACGTAAGAATCGAGTCATTATATGTAGTGTTCACCAAATCAACATTTTCAGGTCGATCATCAATGCTTTTTCAGAAAATAAACATTTTTTTTTTCTTCCTGAAAACAAGATTGGTGAAACCATATGTAACAGTCCTCAACTTCTCTTCCCCCTCCCAATCAACTATACCTACCTCAAAACTAAGAGGATGAGGTCACGCCCATGTAACTAGGGCGTTGGCAAAGTAACAAAGAGGTCACAGAATGCTGTGCCACACATGAATGCCTACTATGCACAAAGCACTGCACATATTAATAGATACCTTCTCATCCTCGACATTTTATAATTCCTGTCTTACCACGAGGACACACATATAAGACACCAGGTTCAGTAATTTGTCCAGGTTACACAGACGGCAAGAAGCTAACTCTGGCCCTTTATGGAAGTCAGAATGGGGACGACTTGGACAATTTAAACCACGTTACAAGAGCCTGATTCTCAAAATGTCAAGAAAACCCAAGAATACATTTCTAGGAGGTCACTCACAAAGGACTGTTTTGTTGTAGACTCCTAAGTCAAAAACTGCAAATTATGTTAATGACCTGCATGGAAGGAGGAGGAAGAGGAGGAGCCGCCATGGCCACTGCCCACTTAGCATTTACTAGGCAGCAAGCCCGGCAGCGCTAGACCTAACTGCACACACACTCGTCCTCCTGCAGTGCTATCACCAGCCCATCTTAGAGGTGAGGCAGCTGAGGCACTGAAAGTATAAGGTACATAATGAGGCTGGATCTGGACCCCCGGGGAGGTCAGTGCTGGAGTCCATGGTCTCAGTCACTTTGCTGGGCTGTCTCTAGACAGAAGCGCTTCCCCTCCTCCCCCCGCCCAACTAAACAGCCAAAGTTCAAGAAAGCAACATACTAGCCATTCATCTCAGAATATGCTTGGTCACTGGTGATAAACTCCTGCGAGGACGGCAAACTGGATTCACTTGCTGAAAGAATGCCCAGGTACGACCCACCGGTCTGCAGACACTTGTCTTGTCCTGCTTGTTTCTCCCCGCCCCAACCCAGGGCCTCCCTCCCCCTGAGGTTAAGACAGGCAGTCCCCGGAGATGCAGGCGAAATGAAGCAGCCTGGCCCGTGCCGCACGCGTGCACCCAGACACACACGAGCACGGGGGACGACGGCACAGCGCGAGGGCAGGGCCCGCGCAGGGAGTGTCGGCAAAGCTCCGAGGAAGGCTGTGCACGGAGGTGACACCCGGGCAAGGCCCCTGGGGGCAGCAAGGAGAAACAGGGGGCAGGGATGGGGGCCGGTGTTCCAGATGGAGGGAGCAAAAGGGAAAGCGGGAAATGGGAAGTCATGGAAGTGGCAGGACAGTCTGAGATGTGTGTTCTAGAAACGTCACTTTGGCTGTGGGGTGGGAGCAGACTGGAGGGGGACAAAGGAGAGAGCAGGAAGCCACTATGGTAATGTAGTCCAGGGAGATGGTGAGCTGCATGGAGCCCAGGTCCCAGAGAGTAGATGGTTATGGCTAGGAGGGCTGGTGAGACAGTCAGGAGGACAGTGACGAGGGAAGGAAAGACGGTGCCCAGGTTCCCGACTCCTGCACTTCCCAGGCAGGCATGAAGTTCACCGAGATGAAATATAAGAAAGTTGTCTGGGTAGCACAAAGAGCAGCACTAGGAAATACAGATGAGAATGTCTTTGAAATGCTGAGGCTACCACGAGATACCAAGAGGAGGTGCCTGGAAAACAGACAGCGACACAAATCCGGAGTTCTGGAAAGGCTGCTGGTGAGCAGCAGAGACACCGGCCCGGCAGGGTGCAAGTGCAGGGGACAGGAGAGACCAGCACTGGCAGGATGAGTGAAGACAAGGAGAGACCACAGGGCACACTGGGGAGAGCCCTGGCCTGGGAGCCAGAGCCTTGGGGTTCCAGCCATGGCTTTGCCGATGACGCTAAGAGTCGGAGTCTAACTCCTCTAAAATCAGGAGGCCGGGCTGGATGCCTCCTGCAGAGTAGGTCTCTCCTTCCCCTTCCCCGGCACCCCTGCGTGGGCGCTGCATTCCGTTAGCACGCGGTGATTTTTCATACTCGCTGCCTATCTCACGATGTTTGATTTCCAAAGGGACCCCAGGTCCCTTGAGGGTGAGAGAGCTGCCATCCTCCTCCTGCATCCTCATGGCACCAAGTGTGGCGGCTGGAGCTACCCAATAATAGACGCGGCTGGAAAAACAATCCTCGCCCTACTTACTCAGATTGATTTTACCAGCGTCGCCCACTGCACCGTGGAAGCTTTTCATTATGACAATCCCCCTCCCATACATTTACATATATTACAAGACTTATTTACACCAGTGTCAACACTGTGTAAAAATGGAAACGCACTGAATGCAAAATGTATGGAGAAGGCTCTCCCGCCCAGTATCCACTGGCATCCAGGCTGCGCTACCAACTGATCTGTGTGCATTTTCTCCCTTTTTGGGGGGAAAATGATGCAGTGACAGGTCCTCTTTCTAGTGCCAAGTGTAAACCGCGGAGATTAGAGAAGTACCGATGTGGTTTATGCGGGGTCGACACTGCAGGGAATTCAGAGCCTGCGATCTCGGGAGCCTGCTCTGATTTCCCAGGATGGAGACCCATCTCTGCTCCGTCTCCACCGCCCTCCAAGGAGGGATGCGGGCCCTGAATGCAGAGACCAGCCCACAGACGGATGCTGCTTCAGGAAAACATGGACAAGGGAGGGCTCCGCGGTTTTGACCAAAAACTGAATTCTGCCAGGGAAATGTAACCAGAGGTCTAGGACTCCCCGCTGGGCTGTACCGCCTGGACCAGAGCCGGGGTGCACCCACGTGCCTCTTCTGGAAGGACCCAGACAGCCCCGACGATGGCGCTGAGATTTCCTCTCCCTTTGTAAGTGACGTCTGGGCCCAATAAGGAGGACTCTAATTCTTTTCCTCCTCCTTATTAACTTACCCAAGCTGGCAGTGATTGTTAGATGTTTGAATTTGGTTCGTTTTCATAATCTAAAAGCTCCAAATGTACATCCTGCCCACAGGATGCTATTACGAGCACACACAACAGAGCAGACTAGGCCTGAAGCGCACATGGCATTAAAGCCAGGCGCGGGGGGGCGGGGGGGACTGGACGAGAACCAGCACCTGAGCGCCACAGGTAGCGAGCACGGCAGCCCACATCCATCCTGCTTCCAAGCAGATGAAACAGCAGTGCCGTCTAAATGATCTGACATTATCTTCAGAAACAGCA